TATTGCTAACTTTTGATTTTGAATCGCTGATAGTCAGATGTTGAGCCATCTGTCATTTATTTCCTATTGTGAACAGAGCGACGACTTGTCTCCGATCTGCCATGTGTGATAAAATGAAGAGTACAAAAATTTAATTTCAGCAGTGGTGCAATGTTTACGGAAATGCAGGGGCAGAGAGGAGAAGGTTAGGAGCTTTGCTTTGCGTGTTTAATTTGATTTGCCGTGTGAACCTGCTGACCAGACCGTTTACAGTGAACAGAGCATGGTCTTGAAATACTGCTGCAACACTCCAATTTCCTCTAACTTACTGTGTGCTGGGGAGCCCTGCATAAACCACCATCCATCAACCCTGCTCCATATGCACAGACTCGCAGTTTAATGACCCCCAAGGAGTCGTCTGGATGCATTTATGAATCAGTCTGTCTGGCTCAAATTACTCCTCCAGGCCGGGCGTCCTGCCACCTGCAGGGCCACCATCTCTTCTGTCACTGTGGTCACTGTGTGTGGCCATTGATCTGTTGTGGGGGGTAGGGGGTATCCTCCTCATTGGCTGTCCCTCACTGTGTTTCTCTGCACACAGCTCTATGCTGGAGCCATCCTCGAGGTATGTGGATGAAAACTGGGGAGGTTCCCTCAAGTCCAAGGTGAGCTCTCTGCTGGGATATCACTACGCTCTGATACTTTCCTGAAAATGAGTTTCTGCTTTGGCCGATTCTGTGTCTTGATCGATGGGGATGAGTGTAAAATCTATCTTTTTAAAATCACTTTAGGTGATCTAAAGTGCCCGAGGGCTGGTTTTCAAGCGAGCCTTTGATCCTCTGCGTCTTGGGAGTAGACCTCCCATTTCCACCCAGAATAACATTTGTTTAACTCGGCGTCAGGTTACGGTGATGGAGTTACTGCAGCTCGCCTCAGTGAGGTGTAGACGTCTGGAGCCCTGTCTGTGCCATATGGCCAGCTTATGTTTACTTCAGCTGTAGCCTCCTGTGTTCTCAACTGTTTGCTTTGCCGTTAACGCTGCATCCTCTGGAGGTTTTGCAGTCGTCACTAATCACAGTCCTAAAATAGAAAGGCTAATTGACCGATTTGTTACCCAACATTTGTCTCACCAGTGTTTTATCTCTGCAGCTTTTGTCAGGAGTGACAAGCCGAAGATGTACAAGGGTCTTCAGATCAAGGTAGGGACGTTGTCGAGCACATGAGTAGACACACTAAGTTTAATCTGGAAAAATGTGGTTTCAAAGATTAATATTATTATACTTATTGTCAAACCTTTCATTATTTGTTTGTGTTGAGAACAAATCTAACACCCCTCCTTTTTTTTTTTTGTCTTTCCTCTCGCCCCACACCAACGCTACAGTACGTGAGAGGCTCAGATCCTGTACTAAAGCTTTTGGATGATAACGGGAACATCGCTGAAGAGCTCAGCATCCTCAAGTGGAACACAGACAGTGTGGAGGAGTTCCTGAGTGAGAAATTAGACCGAATATAGTTATGAGTCCAACTTTTTTTTTGTTTTAGTCTCTAGTGAAAGGGTCACTTCACCCAAATTACAAAGAATAAACATTTTGTGACTACTTGCTTTATCCAGCCTTGCCGAGAGCTACTATCTGAGGTGCAGAGGCTGTGAGATTTGTGCCTCTGAAAAATTACATTTAAAATATTCATCATCAACTTGTTTTCTTCTGAAACTGTGTCCTGATGACTGTAGATTAACCATCTACCACACCATCAGTGGTATTTGTTGGCTTTCTGCTGAAGAAGGAGTCTGAGCAGCAGGGACCCTGTACATGTAACTTTTCACGGTTTTATGGATGGCTCAAAAAATTCCATCTGGCTTTATTGGATTTCTGGTGAGCAGAAATCAACTAAAATGCCAACCCCCCTCATGGCCAGAGATTAGTGGCTAAAGTATTTTTTTTTTTTTTTTTTTTTTTTTGTTTTGGTGGGGGTGAATTGGCCTCAGTAGTTATTTAGCAGTTTGTACACAACTAGGCCTTGACTCTGTTGTTAAATGGCTGCTCATTTTTGTATCTGAAAAATCATGAATTTCTTCTGGACTTGACCAGTGAGTTATGTGAGAATGAGAAACAGTGTAATCACAGAGCCCAGACAGGCAGCACACCTGGAATAATGATCAGACCTGCAGATAAATCGTGGCTGAAATCTGTTCCATTTGGTTTGAGAAGCCTTAACAGTCGTACATCACAACTCGCTTTGTTTTCTATCTGTGGGAGTTGCCATCCCTCCTCTGTTTGTCTGATATATGTCTTGTATAATTATTTTTTATAATGCTCAACATTGACTGATGGGATTTGTAGTAAGAATGAAGGGATTCTAGTTGCTCTCCAAATGCAGATGACTTTGCTGAGGCACACATTCGTGAAGCCCTCACAGTAAACCAGTATTGGGATGTGGGGTCTGATGTACATTTGTGTTTTCTGTATCTTCTGCTTTGAAGAGAAACCAGATTTGTTTCAGATGATTGTGAGGTGGAGGTTTAAATATGCAACAATAAACAAAGTCTTTGGTTTTTCTGTCGACACTGTGTTCCTTCTCTAATGTATGTTTCCACAGAATCACACCTGTCACAGAACAGACTGTTTCAGCTGCCTGACTTCTTTCCATCTATTATCTATACCATTTACTCCTGAATAGGGTTGCGGGGGGGGGCTTATCCCAGCCGATATTGGGCAAGAAGTGGGGTCCACCCTGGATAGTTTGGCAGTCTATCACTCACTCCTACAGGCAATTTAGTCACCAATCAACACAACCCGGAACCTTGCTGTGATTTGACAAAGCTAACCACCACACCACTGTGCCTCCCCCAGTAAAAAAAAAACAAACTTATGAATTTGCTGACATCTAGTGGTCTGGAACTGCACTGCAGCTCAGTGCTGTGAAGAGTGGGTACTCTGCCAACATGTATACAGAATGAAACAAGCACAGTCAGTGAGTTGCTATAAGTTTGGATATAACCTACAGTGGGTACAGAAAGTACCCAACTGTAGGTTGTATTCAGACCCCCTTAAATTTTTCACTCTTTGTTATATTGCAGCCATATGCTAAAATCATTTAAGTTCATTTTTTTCCTCATTAATGTACACACAGCACCCCATATTGACAGAAAAACACAGAATGTTTGACATTATTGCAGATTTATTAAAAAAGAAAAACTGAAATATCACATGGTCATAAGTATTCAGACCCTTTGCTGTGACACTCGTATATTTAACTTAGGTGCTGTCCATTTCTTCTGATCATCCCAGAGATGGTTCTACACCTTCATTTGAGTCCAGCTGTGTTTGATTATACTGATTGGACGTGATTAGGAAAAGCCACACACCTGTCTATATAAGACCCTACAGCTCACAGTGCATGTCAGAGCAAATGAGAATCATGAGGTCAAAGGAACTGCCTGAAGAGCTCAGAGACAGAATTGTGGCAAGGCACAGATCTGGCCAAGGTTACAAAAAAATTTCTGCTGCACTTAAGGTTCCTAAGAGCACAGTGACCTCCATAATCCTTAAATGGAAGACGTTTGGGAAGACCAGAACCCTTCCTAGAGCTGGCCGTCCGGCCAAACTGAGCTATCGGGGGAGAAGAGCCTCGGTGAGAGAGGTACAGAAGAACCCAAAGATGACTGTGGCTGAACTCCAGAGATGCAGTCGGGAGATGGGAGAAAGTTGTAGAAAGTCAAAGAAAGTCAACCATCACTGCAGCCCTCCACCAGTCGGGGCTTTAGGGCAGAGTGGCC